TTTTAACTTTTAAAATATTAGAAACTGAAAGAAAGTGTTTCTTCACACAGGTGCTGATGGGAAGGGTGCCTGACAGAGGAGGACGGCCGAATGAAATTGAACCACCACCACCTGAAATGCCCCCTTGGCAAAAGAGACAAGAAGGGGGCGGAAGGGGTGGTTGGGGTGGTGGTGGTGGTGGAGGTGGTGGTAGAGGAGGCGGTGGGGGTGGAAGAGGTGGCTGGGGAGGTGGTGGAGGTTGGGGAGGCGGTGGAGGAGGGGGTGGAGGGTGGGGGGGAGGAGGAGGTGGGGGAGGAGGTGGTAGAGGTGGTTTCCAAGGCAGGGGAGATTATGGTGGGAGGGGAGATTATGGTGGAAGAGGAGGCTATGGTGGAAGAGGGGGCTATGGTGGAAGAGGGTATGGAGATCCATATGGAGGAGGTGGTGGTGGAGGATATAGAAGGTACTAAAAACTACATGAATTAGATAGCAGTGCTTACTTTCTTGTTAGATATATTAGGCATAGTATTCTAAGTAACATACTTGAATATCATCTTTGAAGTGAACACGAGGTTAGACTCCCTGATAATATTGTTGAATTTGGTTAATATGTAAGAACATTGTTTTATACTACCAGTTGATCTCTCAATGATTTTTTCCATATTCTATGTATCCTTGAGCATGTTATATCTTTTTAAAAAAAAGAAAAGAAAAAAAATTTTTAAGTGTAAATATTTATTACCATCAAATTTGGAAATGGAAAGTATTTTATTGTCATGATTGAATTTAGACTGTTACCTGTATTTTGTTGAGGTTTGAGACACATGAAAGACCCTGCCTGTAATGAAAAGGAATATAGACTCTTGCCTCATCTGTATTCCTGTGGATGTCTTTTATATTTGCTAATTCTATTTTGCAAAATAAGGAAAGGGACAGATTGATAATTGTGTTCAGTAAGTGGTAGTTGTGGTTTGTGTTTTCTTTTACAGTATGAGACTCTTTCCAGTTTTCTGTTAAAATTCCACTAATTGAAGCCCAAGTCTACCTTTTTTATTTTATTTTTTTCTGACTTATTTATTTGACAGTTAGAGAGATACAGAGAGAGCGTTCATCTGCTGGTTCACTTTACAGATGCCTGCAACTGCCAGGACTGGACTCAGCTGGGCTGGGCCATAGCCAGGAGCTGGGAATGCAGAACTGGTTTTCCACATGGGTGACAGGAACTCAACTACTTGAGTAACTGCTGCCTTCCAGCAGGAGGCTGGAGTCAGTCTGGAACTAAAAGTTGGACCCAGGTACTCTGATGTGGAGTCTGATTGTATGGACATCCTAACCACTAGGCTAATTGTCTGCAGACCCCCACTTCCCAAATCTGCTTTTTAACATGTATATTTGATTTATTTTTCAATTAGATTTGAAACCTTGGTAATTTTATCTGACTGAAAGAGTGAAGCTAAAGAATGAAGTGGGGCAAGTGTTTGGCTCATGCCTGCATCCCGTAGAACCTGGCTCAAGTCTTGGTTCCGCTTTCAATACAGCTTCCTGCTAATGTGCATCCCAGAGACAGCAGGTGATGGCTCAAGTACTTTGCTGCATGCCACCCACAAGGGAGACTCAGATTGGGATCTGTGCTCCTGGTAGGGCAGCTCAGGCTGTTCCAGGTATTTGGAGAATGAACTGTCAGACAGGAGGTTGTGTGCTCTCTCTCTGCCTTTCAAGTAGAAGCAAAAATAAAACAATTTTTTGAATTAAAAGATTGATGTCAAAATTACTTTGAAAGGACAAAGACATGTACCAATTTTATATGATGGTATGAAAAATATTCCTGTAAACTGGCCTCTTCATCATTAGTTTGGACATCTGAATATTACAAGTCAGGCCGAGCTGTTTTACACAGGATTTAGGCAATAATTTACAGCTTCCATAGAGCAGGGGTAAGGCTGTTCTGATTCACAGTTAGATTTGGGAACCACAGGGATGTGGAATGGCCATAGGTGGTTTGGTGGTTGAAGCGAAGGATACAACTTGTGAATTCCAGTCATGACACCAGGCCAATGGTGCTGAAATTACCTTAGCTAGCTTTCAAGGATTGATTAGTCCTCATTTGTCAGGAATAAGGTACTTGCCCCTTCTCTGTTTCATAAACTACAAATACAATTTATTGAAAATTAATAGAGGGCCTACTTTGAATGTTTTAAGAGGTAGGCCAAGTAGTGTTTTTTTCTCCTAGTCTAGAGGGTTAGAGAAAAAGAACTGGTCACAGAAATTTGTTTCAATCCCACTGTAAAATCTATGTCAGACTGGGCTCCTGGTCAACACATATGCATAATAACTTCTTGTGATATAACCAACTCCTCAGATAAAAGAATGAATTGTTACTAGAGGACAGATTGTGGCAGGAGTTTTTGTTGTTGTTGTTGTTTTTTTTTTTTTTTTTACAGGCAGAGTGGACAGTGAGAGAGAGAGAGAGACAGAGAGACAGAGAGAAAGATCTTCCTTTGCTGCCGGTTCACCCTCCAATGGCCCGCCACGGCCGGCGCGCTGCGGCCGGTGCACCGTGCTGATCCGATGGCAGGAGCCAGGTGCTTTTCCTGGTCTCCCATGGGGTGCAGGGCCCAAGCACTTGGGCCATCCTCCACTGCACTCCCCGGCCACAGCAGAGAGCTGGCCTGGAAGAGGGGCAACAGGGACAGAATGCGGCGCCCTGACCGGGACTAGAACCCGGTGTGCCGGCACCGCAAGGTGGAGGATTAGCCTAGTGAGCTGCAGCGCCGGCCTGTTTTGTTTTACAGTTGAACTCTGTGGTGGAATCTTAAAATGTTAAAATTTTAAAGGTAAATGTTATGTATGCTTCAGTCTTAGACATGTGATTTTCAAGCCAACCATTTAAAGGAGTGGTGTTAACGATAGAAAAACATAAAATTATTTGGTTATTTGTAAACAGGTGTATTTGTGTTTATATTTAATGAAAAGAATTTTATGTGATAGTTGAAGAAAAAGCCTTTCCATAATTAAGAAAGCAACTTTTTCAGTAGCTATGAACTCTGCAAAAAACTTTTAAAAATACGTAAGTGTAAGACTACATCAGTAAAATATTTTAAGAGTTACTATGTAAAAAAAGAGTTCATCTAAAACTTCTACATTTCTGCTTTATTTCCTTTTTGGGGCATTTGTTGCTGATATAAAAAGAATTTACAACTACTTTCAGCTTCTTTGCCACAAGTTTAAATACCACCACAAGGTAAATACGGCAGCAACATTAGTTTATCAGTTTTATAAGATTTCTTTGTATTTTCATAGGAATGTTGTTTGGGTTATCTACTTCAATCACTATAGATTTGCTCCTGCAATCTTGTTGGAACTAGACCCACTCCTGTTTACACATTTCTATAAACCTCATTTGAATGAAAACCTAAATTGTTGAGATGCTAATAACATTCTTTCCTCTAAGGTAGGGTTTTCCTAATAATTTTCTTTCAGTAAAAATTTCTTTTGTAGGACACTTTGCTGAGCAATATCTGGAATGTCATTAAAGTGATTTGGGACCTTAATGTGAAAGGCATAATGTGAAAATGTTTTATAAATTGAGTGTACTATATAAATGTGTAATATAAAGATGGCACTTTACTGCTTCTCAAATCTAACACTTTACCCAGTACTTCCTTCTTTATTCTTTTTGTCTGGTTCTCAGTTTCATCTTTTATCCTTTTACCTCATTTTCTTTCCTTCTCCTTGTCTGTGTATTCCCTGAAACCCCGTTAGTACATACAGACAGCATCTTACTGAGAAGTTTGGGATTAAAATAGTAAATAACCTTTGTTCATTGCCATATAAAGAATGTACAGACACAAAAGCATGTACGGAATACTTCAAAAATTCATGGAGAAAATTGGAATTAAAAGAAATACGTTTATAGTGATACAAAAAATTTGAAATCCATGCATTGAGGGATTCTTTGAAAAGTCCATAACAATGCACACTATGAAAAATAGAGACCCTCGTGTACATGGATTCAAAATTTTTCCACAAACAATCTGTTAATTTCACTTTCCACAGACTTTTTGAAGTATTCTCCTATATCCTGTCTATACATGATCACTTCATTATTACTCTTGAACTCTCATTAAAAGGGAAAGTAGGCATTTGCATTGAACCTATTTCCTTGTGTTCTACAAATTAGGGAAAACTTGCCTCATTAAAACAGAAGAAAAAAAATGTTAAACCGAAAACATTTTATTACCTGTAATTGTGACAAAAAGAGGACAACCTTAAAAAGGTATGTTGCAAAAAAATGTTCTGAGCAATAATACCACCTATACCTTGTAAGCAGCACAGGGTAGATATTTTGGGATGCAGAATCGGGGTGAATATAGGGCAGTTTAATCTTCTTTAGGGTCAGGTTGTCATTATGACTTCATTGTTGTATGTGAAGTATTAATTGCCAAAATGGTAGACCCCTATCAAAATGTACCAGAATGTGTTCCACAGTGGAAATTGAAAAATCACCCCCAGATCCTCTTCATTTGTCTGTTTATTTAAAAAAAAAATTGAGGATAAAGGGGATTCTGTGGTTATCTTTAATTACCGTCAATAATCATAACCAAAAATGAATTGGCTGTATTTCGATCCGTACACTAGACTGAACCATCTTCTGCTAGTTTTAAACAAAGCTGCAAGATGTCTCTTCACTTGCTAATTTGGTCAGAGGGAACTGGAATTAAAGATGAAAGCCACAGAAAAAATGACAATTTCAAGTCAGTCTTTAGTGTTTACAGACTTAACATTTGGAAGTCACTCTAGGCATTATGAACAAGATGGGAAAAGGCTGAATATTTCTGTACTGTTAACTTTATGTTGTAAAAAGATGTGTAAAACTATAACTGTATAGTTTAGCTACTCTGCTTCTCCTTCTAAGAAACTCAGTTTGGTTAACAGAATATGGAAGTTGTCTCAATTGTGGATTATAGTACAAATCCAGGTGAATTATCTACATATTCATGAAGTAGAAGACACGCAAGACATACTGTAGGCATCCTAATGACTTTTTATCATATAAATATTACACAAAGAAAACTTACACTAAGTATCAAAAAAAACTTTACAATCTGTACATTTTTTCTTGCAGTTCGTTTACAGCATTCATCTTTAGACAAATTCACAAATGATCAATAAAAAAAGGAAGTCCATTAACAAAATGACAGATGACATCACTATTAAAATAAGATTTGTCCTTGTTTTTGGCAGAGAAATATTTACCCAAACTTAAGTCAGAGGGAGACACAAATTTACATTCTTGGCTTGATAACAAAAAACTTCTTTCACATTATTTCTTAGATTCCACTAAGTCTCTAGATCAATATAAATAATAATAATTTATCCACTATACTTCTTCAGCCCTTGCTAAACTTCAAAATCTGTTACTAAACTACTGCCTCTTACTCATTTTAGTGATGCATTTTGCAGTGCTTGAGACTTTTTAGCCATACTAATTTCACTAATGGGACTTTGGAATTCCTATAGGTTGCTTACATAAAATTAATCTGGGGCCCTTCTTTTGGATGGAGAATAAAATGAATGAAGAAATGTGTATTCTATGATTATGTTTAAAAGTGACTGACTATACCCTCTTCGGTCCATATTAGAGGAAAATAATAATAGTGGAGAATATGAAATATTAAAATTTGTCATAAACTCATGTTTTCTGTATAAAGCAAATAACAAAGTGCTAGTATAAGTTTATATATAAAGTGGTGAATCTTGTTTTGGGGATTTCTAAGTTTGGATTTAGAAAAGGATACACTGGTGTGTAAAATGCTTCTTTAAAATGTAAGAATCACTACAAAGTAGTTCTGTATACTAAAACTCAGTACAAAGAGATAAACAAATGGAAACTAGTCTTTCATCAAAGAAACTTATTCAGTGGTCTGAACCCTCCAAGTAAGCAACACGATATAATATGCTTTATATTCTTACAAGAATTTGGTGCTGTTGGCTTTGGCTTGGAATTTTTAACTAAGATTATATTCTTGGCAATTGGTCAACTTGTTTTTTAATTAAAAGTCAGCCCAGTACCAGACTTTCCAAGTAAGAAGGCTAAGTCCTACTAAAAAGAAAATGGTCAGATGATTTTTTTTTTTAGAGAACTAAAATGAGTTTTTGAATAACTGCACAGGCAACCGAAAGAACCAGTTTATCATTAACCTTTGTAACAGAAAACTGTTGACTGTTACTGTGATTTTGCTAAATGATATAATTTTACAATGTGATTCCTCCATCTTATAAGAACTGAACTTTGTGAATTTGTGTAAATGACTAAAAGTTGTTCAATTCATTTTCACATTTTCTAAAGAAACAAAATTTCAAGCCATATGCATGCCTGATATTGTATGTACACATATTATATACATTTGTACATGTATCAGCTATTATTTAAGCCACTGATTCAATTAGCTTATTTCTAAACAGTATTGATAGTGAGGGCAGTTTAAGCACAAATTTTGTTTGAAAAGAGAACTTCAAAGAGTTTACTTCAGAAACAAAAGAAAAAGATGGAACATGAAGAATTAAACATTCTTTACAGACTTTCTTTAAAAGAGGCATAAATTTCCTAATTCTATCCACTGCAGAATAAGGACAAACATGTTTGTAGTATGTTTACTTTACTAATTGGCTAGTAGTATATGAGATGATAACAGCTATGTTTTCAGGTCATTAATTTGATTACTTATTTTACAGTAACTTTTAGACTACAACTGTGAATTGATTTGCAATTGGATAATGTCGTGTTGCTTAATAGGCCCCTAGAACGTTTGGCTTTGTTTCTAGAGGTTCACTTCTAGGTAGATATGCTCAGGTGTGTGAATGTATTGAGGAAGGTAGGGAAAAGGGGCTAACTGATTAGATCTGAGGTAGTAAAGTAGGAACCAGTTTTACAGAGAATGCTGGGATTTAGGGGACATGAATCTCGTGGAATAGGAATACTTTTTCATTATAAGCAAGCTTTGGATGGAAGAAAGTAAATCTCAGTTCACAGAAAACCTTGGGGAGGAAGCAAATTCATTTTCCAGAGATTTTAGTTTTGAGAAAGAATCTACCAGGCAGCCACATGAGATGGTCAGTGCCTTCTCAAAAGCTACATCATGTTTCATCACACTTTTGATGTTAGTCCCAGAAAGGTGGTTTGTAGTAAGAACACCTGAAGTGTTGCTTCCTTCCACTTTCCCCTTTGAGTCACCTGTACATTGAGTCTTTTAGGTTTGTGGGGGGACAGTAACTGGCTTTTGCTTTTTACAGTAAGTCTTAAAAGACAGTCAATGTCAGGTGTCCTGGGTCTCTCGGTGTAGGAAGTGAGATGCAGTGTACCCATTTACAGGTTTGTGTCCCTTGAGCTTCTGGGCTAAGAACAATCACTCTGCTCCATCTGAGCTAAGACATGACTGCTTTTTTCAAGCTGCAGGGATTCTATTTTCTTCTGTGCGTACTTCAGTTGGATCTTTAGAGCATCGTTATCTGCTTTCAGGGTATTGATTTCCTAAAGGAAAAAGAGAATGAAGTATGTTAATAAAGCAGCAACGAATAGCAAATCAGTTACATCAGGGAGTATCCTACTTGATTGGCATCTCCTATTCACTGTGGTCAAGAATTAAAAACTGTTTTCAAGACAGTTATTTTGCTGTGAAAAATAAGCAAACAAGTTAAATACCAAGTGAGCATGTGCAGACAGTTTTTGTTGTCCTATCAAATGTGAGGTGCCGGCAGGCAGAATAAATCATTCCTGGGCAGTCGGTGGGTAAGAACAAAACCTCTGTTATATAACAGATGGTCTTCTTGCCTTGGGAGAAACAGTGTCTCTGAGCCATGAAAGCACTGATTGAGAATTCTGTAATAGCTGTTTTTGTTCATTTGATCTTAAGTTTTCTGTTCCCAAGTCATTGAAACTCACTTCTTTTTGGTGAGAAAGATAGGAATTTTATCCAATCCCTAAAACTGGAGTTTGGTTGATCTGATTTGCAGAGATTTAATTATAGATCCATCAGTGGATTTCCATTCTGTTGATTTTTTGGTTCCAGAGTTCTTATACTATGATGATTACCCTGAAATAATGTATAGGCAATGTCTAAATAATTGGTAATACAATGGGTTGTTTCTCAACCTGAACTACCTAATTAGTTACTAGGTAATATATTAGCTACTAGGTCATGTCAAGTACCTGCTATGTGAGAGTGTTGTTAGATGATTAGACTGTAACCTTCACAGATATCTTGATTGCAGACTCAATATCTCAGTTCTCCTCAATATCTCTTCCTCCTTATATATATAGTATCATACCAGAGATTGGAACCCAGATATGTCCAACCCTAAGAGCCTTTAGTTACTTTTTCTTTGTCCCATGCTGATTCAGCAGTATGCATATACTCAATGTGCTGAATTAATACTTTAGTATTTATGTATTACATATTATTTTAAATACTGTTGAATCAGAGATAAATCATTTTAAGAATTTTACTGAGAAATTGGGACACATTGTTCCTCTAAAATGTACACAGTGAATTCTGGACCTTTAGGTCTGTTTGACAGATATATGTAAAGAGACAGCTGGGAGGCTGAAAAGATTTACTGGGTCTGGTGTTACTGGGTAAGAATTACTCTTGGCCTAACTCATCTGAAATTTTTCAGCCACCCAGTTTTCACAGCTTTGTTGCCAACTACATTGTTCCTTTTCAAAAGTATGTAAAATTCAAGATTTGAAGCAAATCTTAGCATGATATCCCAGCCCTATATTTTACAGAGGACAAATAGGCCTTAAGAGTTTACAACTGGCATAAGAGTGAGCTGGGGCTAGAAATAGAAATATTTACCTCTAAGTACAAGGTATTTCTTATTCTATTGAGTTCATTTTTCAAGGCTTCCTTCATTGTTCTTAAGAGTTGCATTTGGCAGTTTCTACAAAAGGACTTTGTGTAATCCATGATTTGCTACTTTCTGATTGACTTGATTCTTTGAAGCAAATCTTAAAAATACTTTTTCCTTCATCCAGAAAACCTGTTGCTCATTTTTCATATATCCTTCTAATATGTTCTTTGTTCCAGGTACCAAATGAAGGATTTCACTGTTGTCATCTAACTTTTTTCAGATGTTTCTCTAATTCAATTCCTGGGAGTCTGACAGAGAAGATACAATGATGAGGGCAACACAAGGAATCTTGAGGTTCTTGTGGGCCATTTCATTTTGTAGTCTGTAGAATTGCATACAGAATTTTAGCCAAGGGGATGTTGATTTTATGTTTGCACTGCTAGGCCTCCAAGAACACAATACAAACTTTGATGTTTTGGAAAAAAGGCAGACAGGCATTTGTCCCATTTAAGCAAAGAGTAACTTGAAACTAACATGTCCTTGTTTCTCTGTCTCTAAAATGGCTTATCAGTAATTGCTAAGAAATTATTAGTCCACAACAAAAGGTCTAAGCTAGGCTTCATGTAAGCTGTTTTTTCTACTCTTAACAGAAAAGAAGTGCATTAAAAATTGACCCTACAGATTTGAGTATTTAGACAACTACCTGTAGTTCATGGATGAAAGCTGCTCACTCTTCTGCTCCCATCTTCTACTTGGCTATCTTTTCTTCTTCATCTTTTTCTCTCAAACCTTGGCACCATATTCCCCAACTCATTCTTTTCTTGATACATTTTGTTTTGTCTTTTGAAATGCCTCCATATGATACCTAATCATTGTAAGCCTATCAAAAAAGAGGCTTTTTGGTGCCTTAGTTGTTACTGCTTTATAAACCATGCTGTATTCAACTGTACATTTGGTTGCTACTGTTGGTTTAGCTGCTCTTAGAACTTAAAAAAGGACATTTCAAACAGTACATGGAAAAGTGAAATTCAAAGTTTATTTTGGTGCAGAACAGTTTAAAATCGATGCTTGTGAGGGATCTTCAAAAGGTATGTAGATATTATGTATTACGGAAAACCTATGCATGGATTTCCAAATTTTTGCATCAAAATTAACTTTTTAATGCCATTATTTCATAGACCTGCTGGAAATACCCTGTATATGCATAGAAGATGAGTACATTCCCTGAAATGTTAGGTAAGAGACCCCTCATTTATAAAAAGGGGGTTATTTCCAGTGATGAGCCACAAAAATTGACTGTTTATCTTTTTAAATTTTTTTCATTAACATGTTATATTCGACATTCTTAATGAGAAAATGTGCAGTTGTCAGAATTGTCAGCATGTGTATAGCGTGAACTGATAAAATCAGAATTAGCATTTTAATTTCCTTTTTTTTTTTTTTACGTTTGAATCCTACCAGCTATTCTCTTTTGAACAGTATTTATGCAATATTTATTATGAAATAGTTGTCCCAACTGTCCCCTGGGGGATACTAGACCCTAGTACCTCTGTGTGACTGTATTTCACTACCTCATACTTAAGATCCCTGTATTCCTCCTCCCTCAACCCTTCCCAATCTATAGTAATCCCTATTCTAAATTCAGACTGATTAGTGTATATGATATTTGACTTTCTATTTCTGGCTTATTTTATTAAGCATAATAACCTTTAGTTCTATTTTACTGCAAATCATAGATTTTCATTTTTTTATGACAAAATATTCCATTATTTGCTTAGACAACATTTTATTTATCTGGTCATCCACAGATGGACACCTAGATTAATTCCCTTTCCTGGATATTGTGAAAAGTGCTGTTGAACATGGGAGTGAAAGCATCTCCTTAATATTCTGCTTTTGTTTTCTTCAGATACATATCCAGAAGTGGGAGAGTTTTTTTTAGGGTTTTGAAGACCCTACGTACCCTATAAAGTCTGTACTAATTTATATTCCTGTAAACAGTATGTAAGTTTTCTTCGCTGCACAACCTCACATGCATTTGTTATTTTGCTTAACAGTCATTCTAATGAATGAAATGGCACCTTACTGTTTTGATTTACATTTCCTCTATGGCTAATGTTATTGAGCATTTCCTCATGTTTGTTGGATATTTGTGTTTACTCTGTGAAATGTCCATTCAGATCCTCCACCCAAGTCTTTACTGGGTTATTTAGTTGTTAAATTCTTTCAGTTGTTTATATATAGTCTGGACAGTCTGGCACATGAATACTTTACAAATATTTTTTCCCATTCTGTCAGTTGTCTTTTCACTGTTGTTTCCTTTGGGGTACAGAAGCTTCTTAGCTTGATATAATCCCATTTGTCTTTAGTTTTTTGCTTTAAGCTTTTGGGATGTTATGCAAAAAAAAAAATCATTGCCTCTACCAGGGGTGGGAAACATTTTTTCTGCCAAGGCCCACTGGATATTTATAACATCATTTGGAAGCCATACGGAATTGTCAGCTTAAAAATTAGCCTGCCGTAGAGTTTATTGAATTTCAAGTTGTGCTTGCAGTGTCTTGGCAAGGCAAGACATTCCCCACCCCTGGCCTATACCAAAGTAAGTATTTTTCCTACTTTTTTTTTTTTTTTGGTAGTAGTTTCATAGTTTCAGGTCTTGCATTTGGATCTGTGGTCCATTTTGAGTTAATCTGTATGCAGCATGAGAGGGGGTGTGTGTGTGTGTGTTGGGGCAAATTCCAATATGCTGTATGTGAGTATCCAGTCTTCCCTGCACCATTCATTGAAGAGAGTGCTCTTTCTTCAGTGTGTATTTCTGGTGCCTGTGTCAGATATCGGTTGGCTGTAGATACTTAGATTCATTTCTAGGGTCTCTATTCTATTGGTATGTATCTGATTTTATGCCAGAACCATGCTGTTTTTGTGTTGAAATCACGTTTTGTGAGGGTTCCATGTGCAGCAGCTAGGGCTAGGACAGGCTGAAGCCAGGAACTCCATCCTCCTGATCTCCCACATTGGTGGCCAGAACCCAAGTGCTATGGCCATCATCCTTGCTCTCAGGGGCATTAGCAAGAAGATGGCATCCCATGTGAGTGCGAGTCCCAGCTTTTCCGCTTCACTCTAACTTCCTGCTAATATGCCTGAAGAAAGCAGTATTAGATGGCGTAAGTCCTTGGACACCTAATACTCTTGTGGGAGACCAGGATGACTCCTGGCTTCAGCCTGGCCCAAACCTGGCTATTGCAACCATTTGGGGAGTGAACCAGTGGATGGAAGTTTTGTGTCTTCTGTCTCTTCCTCTTTTTTTTTTTCAAACAAATTCTAATAAAGAAGATGTATGGAGTATCTGGGACTAGAACCAGGCACTCCAAAATGGGATGTGGGCATCCTAAGTAGTAGCTTATCCTGCTGAGCCACAGTGCCTGCTCTTATCCTTCATTCTTTTGATGTGATGTATTATGTTTATTCATTTGTATACATTGAGCCATCCTAGGGTTAAATCTCACTTAATCATGATGATATATTTTGAGATATTACTAGATGTGACTTGATAATATTTTGTTGAGAATTTTTGCATATATGTTCATCAGAAATATTGGTCTGCAGTTTTTCATTATTGTGTCTGGTTGATTTGGAGTTGAATCATATAGTGGACTCATACAATGCTAGAAGGGTTCTCTCCCTTTCAACTTTTTGGAGTATCTTGAGAATTATTCATGTTAGCTTTTCATTGAAAGTTTGGTAGAGTTCACCAGTGGAGACATGAGTCCTGGGCTTTTGACTATAAATTTAATCTCAGGTTTTATATGTCTTGGTTAGTTTCTGTTGTATGTATCCAGAAATGTTCCCATTTCTTCTAGAGTTTCTCATTTGTTGACATATACCTGTTCATAATGGACCCTCTGACCCTTAGTATTGGCATTGGTTGTAATACCTCCTTTTTGACCCTCTGATTTTGAGTCAGCTCCCTTTTTTATTGGTTAGTCTAATTTAAAGTTCATTAATTTTATCACTTTAAAAGAACCCTTAATTTCATTCATCTTTTTATTTATTTTTGGTCTCATATCATTCCTGCTCTGAAATTTATTATTTCCTGCTACTAATCTTGGGTTTGCTTTGTTCTTGCTTTTCTAGGTCACTGAGATGCACTGTTATCTTTTTTTTTTTTTTTTTAATGTAAACGCTTACTATTAACCTTCCTCTTAGTACTGCTTTTTGGTTTTCCCTTTTTAATTTCTTCATTTATCCATTATTCATTCAGAAGCATAGTTTCCATGTATTTCTATATTTACTACAGTTTCTTCTGTTGTTGGTTTCTGATTTCTGTATTCATTATCAGAAGATACATGATATGATTTTTTTTTTAGTTTATTGAGACTTATTTTTCTGCCCAATACATGGTCTATCCTAGAGAATATTCTTGCTGGAGAAAAGAATGTATATTCTGCAGCTACTGGATGAAATGTTTTGTAAATGTTTGTTGCGTCCATTTGGTCTACATAATAATTTAATTCATTTTTTTTTCCTGGGCCTAGATAATCTGTTGATGCAAGTAGGGTCACTGTTACTGTATTACTGCTCATCTCTCCTGTTACAGCTAATATTATTTGTTTTATAAAATTGGTTTCTCTGGCATTGCCTATAAATTTATAATTTTCATATCTTCTTGAATTGACTCCTTGATATATTAGCCTTTATCTCTCTTTACAGTTTTTGTCTTAAAGTCTGTTTTATCTATATAACTACTTAGGCTTACACTTTTGGTTTCTATTTGCATAGACCATCTTTTTTTTTTTTTCTGCCTATGTGGTGAAGAGAGGTTTCTTGTAGGTACATATTGCTGGGTTTCTTTTTTTCAGCCTGTATGTTTTAATTGGGAAATTTACTCCATTTTATTTTAGTTTCAGTCCTGTCATTTAAAAAAATTATTGTGTTTGGGTATCTGTTGTTCTTTTTCTAGTGGATCTTAGACATTCAGAGTTTTCATGATGGCCATTATCTTTGTTTCTGTATATAGGACTCACTTAAGCATCTTTTCTAAGACTGATTTGTTGATGATGAATTTTGTTTTTGCTTGTCTTCTAAGTCTTAATTTCTCCTTCATTTGTGGAGGAGAACTTTGGTGAGTATAGTATTTTTGGTTGGTAGATTTTTTTTCTTTCAAAATAACATTCCATTTCCTCCTGGCCTATAAGGTTTGTGCTGAGAACTGTGCTGCCCATCTAATGGTGTGACTGCTGTTGCAGATTTTATAGTTCTGTGTTGTACTTCTGAAAGTTTAAATATTTTCTGGCCCTGTCTTTTTGAGTCCTGTGTACTCACAGGACTGTACTGGGTTATTCATTTCCTTCTTTTTCATGTATTAAGTTTTCTATGCCCTACTCTTCTCTTTGCCCTTACAGTCCCCATAATTCATGTATCTGGTAGTTCAATGGTGTCCCAAAGGCCATTTTCCTTTTTTTTTTTCCGGCTGGGGGAGTCTGGAATATTTCAAAAGACTTATCTTCAGGTTTACTCCTAATTTTGTTTGATCCATTGTGCTGTTGAGCCTTTGTCAACTATATTTTTGAATTCTTCACTTCTAAGATATGAGAATTTCATCATGTATTTTTAAAAAGAAAACATATCAATAGTGTTGTTAACTTTTTGTACTGTATTGAATTTCTTTGAGTATCCTGAGTATCATTCTCTTAAATTCATTTAAAGTCTTTTGTCACTATCATGTTCTCATTCCTTGCTTTTTCCATACTTCCTGTAATTTGTTGTAAAAGGCTTTTTCCTGAAGATGTATCTTTGCATGTTGGTTTGGCAGGCCATTCTGGCTTTGGTTCCTGAACTGGATATTGTAGTATGGTAATGGCTGTGCCAGTGTTGGGTGCTCTTCTCATCCCCAGCAGGGGTGTGTAGGTCTCAGTAGCATACCATGGAACATGATCCAAGGTTGCCAGGCGACACTAGCTGAGAGTGCTGGAGGGCCGCTTATGTATCTGCATTAGCAGGATCAGGGTCAAGGTAGCACTGGCCCAAGTTCTGACAGGGGCACATGGGTACCCATGCTGCCAGATCCAAGTTTCTGTGCAATGTCTTGGCACTCTCTACCTCCTCTATTCCCAAGTAGACAATTATTTGTGCTATTCTGCCTGAGGATGAGGGAGGAATGGATTGACTAGTCCTGTGACCACCTAGGCCACAAAGCTAGATCATACCTAATAAGCAACTGCTTTGCAGGTCAAGGCCACTTCAGCAAACTACAAGTGATGCTTGCCCAGATACATGTTCAATTGCCAGGAGTCATGGGTATTCACTTGGGACCAGAGAAGTTGGAGAGGTTCTGTCTGCGGGCACTGGCCTGGGGACTATTGATGTCTGCCTATTGATGTTTCTACCAGTTCCAAGATGGAATCCTGTGCTCACTTTGGTGCCCTAGTCCCCTGTCCAAGCTGGGGTAGTCTATGGTGATGGCAGCCCCTTGGCTACTAAGCTCAATAACATCTGAGTCTCCCAGTCCTGGGTAGTGATGGAGGCTGAAACAAAACCCTCAAAACACAAAGTCTTTACCTGATGCTGAGGCAGATCTAGAGGCTGTGTGTCAGAGCACTGGCTTAGGATAGGGCTCTCTCTGCAGCAGGCCTGGGCTGAACTTCAAGACAAAATCCTAGTCTCCCTTTCTCATCCCACTCCTAGTGGCTGGAGTCCTGCTTAGCTGTCAAGAGGTTGGATGTGGGGTAGTGGAGCAGTCCCTTGGTCTACCTGGCTAAGGGGGATTCAGATGCGTATAGTGCAGGTATTGGCCTGAGGAAGGGGGCCCTGTCCGGCCCTAGGTTTCACCACAGCAGGCCTGGCACTTGGTTTCAAGTCAAGAGAAGTGTGTGTCTGTACCCTGGTCTACATGGATCTGGGCTTGGAGTAGAGTGGGCAGCTCTCTACTTCTGCCTTCCTCAATGCATCTTTCCTTCTTACATTATATCCAGGCACTGTGACCACAATGCCTTCTTGTGAAGGTAACTTGATGTGTGAATAGCTATTCAGACTGAAAATATACAGGTGACCTATAGAAACTGGTTACTCTCATTAGCCTATGGGCACTAGCATGGTGATAGGGAGTCCTGTATATCCTCTACTTCTTGGGTAATGTAGACCATGGCCCTCACTGAATTCTTTGTGAGAAAGCCAGTTTTCATTCCTCCTACTTTTTGCTTTAACCTGCTAGTAATTAAACTGATTTGAATTTTCAGAATTTCCAGTTCACATGCTCTTCCCTGTTTAGGTTTAGCCCTCTGTCTCTAAGGAAATCTGAAGAAAAGAAAAAGAAGAGGGTACCTGTTCCAGCTCTTGGTAGGTTGGAAGTCTTAGTCGCCGTAGTTCCTCCTTGGATTTTATGAGGGATTCTTTATTCTCCCACTTGACAAAAGCCCTCTTTCTGACCAAGACTGGGCTGGGGCATGGAGATGTGGGACTGGGAAGCACATACAGAGTATCCTGCGCTGTCTTCCTTGGAGAAGACAGCACAAAGGGCCCAGAAGGACCCTCACTCCCACTCCAAGGCAACGCTTCCGTCTGGGTGGCCTTGTGGGCAACAGTCCTTTTCAGTCGCACAGAAATCTTCTGTGAGGACACTCCCATCAGCATGATGGTTCGATCCTTGCTCTCCTCGCTGTGCTCTAAAACCTCCCCATTGGGAAATGCGAAGGGTCCTTCCTCAGGTGCTGTGGGAAAATGCATGACACTTTAGTATTCCAACTCAGAAAAGCAGAGACTTCCTTGTTAGGGGACTTCCATGGTTCTAAAGAGGACACATTTGGAGGTACGCAATTGAGGGGTGAACAGAAGGTGGAATTCAAGGTCTCTGCGGCCAAGCCATGGCCACTTTCCACCCTGAGTAAAGGGCATCTTTTTCTGTGTGACAGAGGTTTAGAGGTTTCTGATCCTGCCAGTAAGTGGAAGCAGGGTCATTACAGTAATGTTCCACACGTAATTTGAGTGGCTGCTACACTTTGGAAGTGTACACATGCTCTCCATCAGCTGGTACCTACTCTGTAGGACCCAGTGGTCACAGCTTCACTGAGAAGAAAGGTTTAACTCTGTGGATGTGTCTCTCAGAATACTGATGGGAAAAGAATTAATGCATTACTCTGATTTCTTTCTTACACCAACTCTTCTGCCCAGGACCCAGCCTAGTAATTTTCTGGAAAAGCAGATTATAAGCATATGTATCTGGGGCGGGTGGTAGGCTTTAAGGTAAACCGCAGACTGTGTAAGTTCACAGTTTTTCCAAGACTAACTGGTAATTATTGGCTCTTTGAGAAGTCTTTCTCAAAGTTTGGGAAACAAAATGATTATATAAGATAAAAATTTTTAAATTCAGTCGGTGCCGCGGCTCACTAGGCTAATCCTCCGCCTGTGGCGCTGGCACCCCAGGTTCTAGTCCTGGTTGGGGCGCCGGATTCTGTCCCGGCTGCTCCTGCTGTGGCCCGGGAAGGCAGTGGAGGATGGCCCAAGTGCTTGGGCCCTGCACCCACATGAGGGACCAGGAGGAAGCTCCTGGCTTTGGATCGGCGCAGCACGCCAGCTGTAGCAGCCATTTGGGGGGTGAACCAACGGAAGGAAGACCTTTCTCTCTAACTCTGCCTGTCAAACAAACAAAAATTTTTAAATTCATTTGTATTTTTGTATTAAAGTGTATTTTTCCCCTAAATTTTCTATAGTTAATAGAATCAAAATGGCTTTTTTGAAAAGTTCTGTAATGGGCATTTGTAACCTAATATATATGCTAGCTGTTCAAACACTGGAACTGCTATAAGGATCCTAGTTTAATTTATCCCATTATAAACATTCAATATTTATCCAAGTGAGTCTCAAAATTCTAAGTATACTGTTATTTAAGTACTATAATATTTAAATTGTGCTAATCACCATAAAATAGTTATCTTTTATTTTACCTTTTTTGGGAGAAAAATGAAGAAGGCAAATGAAAAGCAACAGAGCATGCCCTTAGAATTGCAGGAGACCACAGTGTTAGAACAAATCATGAGGTAATCTCTTCTACTGCAAAACATCATGCTTCACTTTCCGAGGTGAACATTCCCAGTGCCTACTTACCGTGGAGAAGATCTTTGGCTCCCAGTGAGCAAAGGTTGGACACTGGCCCCACAGAAATGCTGTTCTCTGTGGGAGCTGCTGGGTTCTTAGCTCGCTTTTTGCACTCAAACACGACTAGATCTTTGCATTGTTTGTGGCAGTTCATCCCACAGTCTGTGGACAAGACAACTTTGGTTAGGAAGTCTGTTTTTCTCCATGGGGTACTTTTGTCACATGTCTATGTTCTGCAGTGAGGACACCTAACACTGCTAATGACTGGCATTCCCACTTGCTAAACCTTGTATCTCCATCTTTACAAAGCCCTTGTCGGAGTTCCAGAATCAAAAGCAGCATCCTGTTCTCTAGGAGGGAACAGATGGTGTCCTGATCATCTGGCCTACTCTAGGAGTTCCTCTGGAAGCTGTCAGCTTTTAGATCTTAATCTTTCTTCTCGGCAGTAAAAGGTCTCCTCTGGTACACTCTTGAATTGTCTCACAGGAAGGACAATTATTTCCCAAAATATCTACTGGTACAAGGAGAGCTGACAAACACTTTTGGTAAAGGCTTTTTTGGTTTATCTTTTGTCCAGGAGTGATTGTGTTCTTCTAACTGGGAATCCAATGATTATTCAAGAGTAGCTGTTTCTATTTCCAGAGCAACCAAGGCAGAGAGAGGATCTTTTTTCTGCCAAGGGCCATTTGGATATTTATAACATTTGTGGTCCATACAAAATTATTAACCTTCTATAGATTGATGGATTTTGAGTCCTGCCTGAGGTTGCCTTAGCAGGTCCAGACCAAATGATTTTGCCAACCTTATATGGCCTGTGGGCTGGACATTCCCCACCCTGAAAAGGAACTGTGTAACTGGTCACCCAAGCACTGCTGTCTTCCATGGGGTGACAGTCTCTCTCAGGGTGCTGTAGGGAAGCCAGGTAGGGATGAGCCTTAGGGCTGTGCTGAGAAGTTGTGAACTGTTGAACTTCTATGCGTCAAAAAAAAAAAAAAAAAAAAAAAAAAAAAAAGAGGAGAGCACCAGGGCAAAAAACACAAAAGTTGTATCTTACCTTTACATCGATATCCTTGTTTGATCACTCCCCAGAGCTATGAGACAAACAGAATTTATCACACATTATTTCCATGCATTCCACTCTAGCTCAAGTAAGGAGGAAAACTAGCTCATCTCTTAAGTCTTGTCCCTCCTGACCTTGAATTAAAAACAGAAAAAGTTTCTGCTGATCAGAATCAAATGTTGTCAAGAAGCTCACTGTAGAAGGTTTATTTCCCAGGCCGGGAATGAATGAATCATAGGACAGATAGAATCCATAGTGGGAAACAATTATGCACGGTCCTGGTTGGGGAGGAAACCACTGGTCAAGGATGGAAAAAGTGGTACAGAACACAGATCACCTCTTAAAACAGTTCCTTTTGTAAGGAAGAGGAAAGTACCCCATTTCTTCTAACAGTTGAAATAGCATATGAACATAATACTTCCATTTCTGTACCATTTATCCCAGGACCCATATGCCAGGGAGGAAAAACAAATCAGGAAGTAGTGAAACAAGATGAGTGCCACTGAAAAACCATGCACGTGAGGACAGTTAGTCCAGGTGTTGGGGCTTATGAGGTCTGTGCCCGTCTTACTCATTGCAGCTGGCCCCAAGTTCAACCCTGAAGCACTCTAGGAAGAACTTACAAATCCAGCACAGTTGTCACAGAAAGTGGGCTTCAGGTAGGTGGTCTCTTGAAAATTGTGAGGAAAGCCCAGACCCAGCTTGGAGTAGATTGAACTGGCCCTCATGAAGTAGGCTGTGATCTCGTCTCTGCTGATGAGGCCTTCCCTGCCAGTGAGACAGGCAAGGATGTTAGGAAGACTGGAAGGTGGCTTCCAGCCTTGGAGACTTGGCTTTGGTATTCAACGTTAAGTAGTTGCATTGCATGTATTACCAGATCATTACTTCCACACACACTCCTTTGTGTCGGGGTGCAGACTAGCATATAGTAAGTAGGTAAGGCAGTATTACTCATTATTAACTCTAACCAGAGTTAGGTTTTCCTAACTAATTTAACCATTGACTACAAGATTTGCAATGATGTAAAATATGTATATAGGGAAGAAAATGCTTTATGGTAGTTTCTGACATCAGACAGTATATGACCTGAACCCACACATCATACATTTGACTTTCCATAGAGAATTAAGATAGAACTTTGAGGAAACTAAATATACAACTTATTGAATGTTAGGAATTTTCCATAATTTGCAAGGACAAAGGGAAAAAGGAAGACTTTCTCATAATCATTAGTCGTCAGTTCTGAGGTATTTAAAAAAACATGCAAAGTTCCTGGCTTATTGTCCAAACTAATGGCAGAGAAGCCTCCATTGGCTTCCTCTTTGCACTCCAATACTGAGTAATCACAGCAGCCGCAAGCAGAAGTCTGCCAGTTCTGGCGGCACACGCAGAAGCGTGTTCTCCCCAGTGCGCTCATGACTGCGCGTCCCACACACAACCCTCACCTGTCTCTATCCATCACACAGAAGGAAAACGGAAAGCTGGCAGCAATCTTCTCAAACTCTTCCTGAGAAATGTACCCATCCTGGTCGTGATCATAGTTCTTGAAGACAGACTGTGAAAAGAAGTTTTTTTGGGATTACTAACCAGAAACCAATCCTTTCTGCCAGCAGCCAAAGGACAAAGGAGCTGGGGCATACAGATAAAAGCCTCTTAATAGCTGAGCAAGGAGAACAAAGAAACTTTTTTTTTTTTTTTTTTTTTTTTTGGACAGGCAGAGTTAGCGCGCGAGAGAGACAGAGAGAAAGGTCTTCCTTTTTCCGTTGGTTCATCCCCCAAGTGGCTGCTACGGATGGCGTGTTGAAGCCAGGAGCCAGGTGCTTCCTCCTGGTCTCCCATGCGGGTGTAAGGCCCAAGCACTTGGGCCATCCTCCACTGCACTCCCGGGCCACAGCAGAGACCTGGACTGGAAGAGGAGCAACTGGGACAGAACCAGTGCCCTGACCGGGACTAGAAGCCAACGCTGCAGGTGGAGGATTAGCCTAGTGAGCTGCAGTGCCGGCCAGAGACATGTTTCTTAAGCTAAGGCAAAGATGCTTTGATGGTACCAGCATCTGCAGTGTGGCCATGTACTTTCAATGCCATTATCTTATCAGCTACACTTTGACCTGGGCTACTGTGGCCTCCAAGTTCATTGCACAATGGAATGTTCTTTCATTACTCAAATTTCTCCTCTGAGAAGCGACTGAGCATCCTAGCTGGAAGTGCTTTCTCTTCTCTTGGATCAGATCGTTCTGCTCTGTCTTCCATTGTTACATGAGCATGGCCCGTAAGGATAAATGCAGAGAAGTATGAAAGTATGCACCTCCTCCCCAGCATTTAGCACAGAGAGCTGAACCAAGCAGAGCCAAATTCTCATTTTTAGATTGAGCTGCTTACTATCCTTACTCAACTGTTTCCAACACATCTCTGCCCCCAAACTAGGTCTTTGAAGAGAGGCGTATTTGCTCCTGTGTGAGGCCAAAGTATGTTAACAAAATATAACTTCTGAAGTTCTCCAGCTACAATATGAGAAATAAGTGGCTCCCTATACTCACAGAAGAACAAGTTTCAAGGTTCTCACCTTTATGTTCCCACTCTTGCTCCCTCTCCCCACATAAAAAACTAAGCCAGGCAGTAGCTTGCTTATCTAAAAGTCAGCTGTACTTACATCCACCATCCTCTGGACGTGTTTGCTAATGGTCTTTGGGTCAGGTTTGGGAGATACTCCAGAGGCCCAGTCCACTACTACTGGAGGCTTTGAAGGTGTCAGTGGCTAAAACGAAATATTGAGCAAAATCCTCATTACTAAAATGCAGTATTACAAATACAGCTCCTTCCTTTCTCACTGCCTGGCAGTTCCTAGACAAGCTGTACTGTGTGCAGTGGCAAGGAACAGAAGCCCGCACGTAACTGGCATCTGTCATCATCTTGACTAACACGGTACCGTGCTTCACATTACCTTCACTATCTCTGTATCTACCTCATCTCCTACTTCCCATCATTCAACATTCTCAGCTCCCTCTCCATTAACCCCGTTCTCAGAACTTTGAACAAAGAGTAATGTACATCATTTAAAATTCCTCTGTTCTCTGGACACTTTTAGAAGAGAGATGGATGAGGAAAAAACTAGCTGAAAGGCAAGAAGACATACAAGGAAAACAGTCTCAAGCCTGGATAAGCTGAGACAGAACCTATTCCTAAATATTTCAAACTTGGCCTTTCTTTTCAAGAAACAGGAGAAGGTATGTTTTCCACTGAAATGCCTTTACCTCTCTGAACACGGAATGTACCAGATATTTTCAGTGATCATTTTTACAACACGAAGATAGAATTTGTCTGTATACAGGCAATGAAGTTTAGCTACCTCAGCCCAGTTGGACTTCTTATGTGGGGGCAACTCTCTTGGGTATCACTTGTTTTGGGTGGGGAAGCTTCCTTGAGAGACTAAAAGAATTTCACTTTTCTGTAGGAGGTGGGACCACGTGACTGTGAAGGTCCTATTTGTACAGTGCCAGGACTGTATGTTATTTTTAAGACTTCCCAACCTAGGAGGTCAGAAAACAGCACATGGCTCTCTCTGGCCAGAGCACTACAGGATACTGAGGCTTTTCTGGCAAGCGGTCAGTCTTCAGTACAACCTCTGAGTGAAATGTGTGCTGCTGTCATCATTAGTGAATCGTAGGAATATTGTGTGGGGATGCTCTTTGAAGGAGTGGTGCCACTCCACTCCACAATACCACTGCTGACCACATCGTTCTGAACGCTGCTGTAGCACACTAGTCTTCAGCTCAGCTGGAGCACAAGCAGAAGTGATTCCTCACACACGTTAGGAAGCTTTCTCTGTCCCAGCACAAAGTTGGGCACATAGTAGAAACAATATGCTTATTACATGGAACTAAAAGTATATTCCTTAATAAACTTGAAAGCAGCTGGAAAAGCACTTGTTAACTGCATGAGCCTTAATGTGAAAAACTCACCGGGGCTCGGTGGTTTCTTGGTTCCCGGGCATAGGAAAGTTCATAGATTTCATCTTCGGTGTAGTAGAGATCCAAGGATAACTGCAGATCAAAGAACAGGGTTATTGCAGGATGCTGTGTATCTTTGCCGGGGCTGATGTATTTCTTCCTCTTCAGTAGTTTCATTTAGGCTCCTGTTTGTTTTTAAAATTTACAGTACTTACTGCAGTAGGACAAGCGTTAATTCTTTCTTGTTAGAATGTTTTTAAATTTTGTAGAAGTTCCAGGATGCCCTCTTTTTTAACTGTGACTTAATACCTAAGCCTCAATCAAGAGCTTAGGCCACAGGCCTTTCCTGTCCAGATGACCCACACCTCACTTCTCTCTCAAAGTAGACAGATAATCTGAAAGGATGGTTTGCAGTGCCTGATATTCTAAAAATCTATACATCTTAGAATTTAAAATTTTGGGAGACGTGTGTTAGAAATAACTTTGTTTTTAACCTTGAGTCTTTGGACAGGATTTAGGCGGTCCAGAGCTCCTTGAAATTGCGTGTGCCATTTTAAATACATGGCTTATATTTACTTTTCTGGGCAGAGGGTTCACAGCCTTCATTCATCACAGGATTTGTGATATAAAAAAAAGTCAAGATGCGGTACATCCCTTTTTAAAAAAAAAATATATATATATATATATATATATATAAATGCCTGAGGCAGAGACCTGCCAATAACCTGGCTAATTAGCAAAAGGGCTAAAATCAGGTATTAGCAAGATGGGAAATTGAGACCGCAAGAGGCTCCAATCATTATTCCATTTGGCAGAAGAAAGTCGAGTTAAAAACTGTCTAATTTTAGAACTGAAAAAGAAGTTAGAATCACCCTAGAGACTTGTCCCCATGAATTTACAGAGGAGGAAACAGCTGTGGAGAGTTAGGATGAACTACAGAATGGCAGGACCAAAGGGAACTCCTCTGATCTCACCTCAAACCAAAAATGCAAATCCTGGCCTGCAGCACAGACAAGTGTTCACCTACCCGTAGCTTGAGCATCTCTGTGAAAGGGGTTAAAGCCAGTGCTGGCAGACCCGATAAGAAACCAAAACCATTTTGTTATGCACTGCTTTGCTCCACCCCCTCCCTTTTTTTTCTTCAAATAACAGCACATTGTCTCCATCTGTTATCAACCTTGTAGTCACTTCACTTCATAAAATTTTCTGAGGATTAACGCAGCTACTCTTTGGTAAGGTGTATAGAATGGCACCCACCCACAGCACCTGACACACAGAAAGTGCTTGGTAGTCATTATCCAGTGTGAACCTACAGTTAGCAGGTGTACCAAGTCCTTGTTGGCGTCCAAGGGCGGGGCCACCTCTTGAAGCTGGACCAGTTCATTGATGTGATTGTAAAGGGCCAGCAGCTTGTGGACATTGACCTTCCCATCTTCCAGATAGTCGGGCATAGCTTCATACAGGGAGATGAGGTCCTTGAGGTGCACCCCCAGGATGGGGATCTTGAAATGGGTGCACTCGCCATAGGCTCGCCGGTAGTTGTCATAGTTTCTGCAGGAGGACAGTAGCTCAGTCATCTCACCCAGAACCTGCAAAGTACAATAGACCGATCACAGTCAGTCTCTGGCAGGCTGTGTTGTCTGTAATGGCCACCTTGCTTACTACCATCCCTCATTGTGCCTAATGTGTCAGGCACAGGGTTATGCATCAAAAAGGTGAAGGCTATGACTCATGTTTACAAACCTGAGACAAACTTTACATTTTACTACATAGCTTAAATTTTTTAACAGGTTTCATTTCTTAGGCTTAAGACTTTTAAGAATAATGTAAGCTCCTAATACACATGGGGTGATGGTTGTGGCACAGCACATTAAACCACTGTCTGTGAGGTCTTTATCCCCGATCAGAGTGCCTGTTCCAGTCCTGGCTGCTCCGCTTCCAATACAGCTTTCTGCTGATGCTCCTGAAAAAAGCAGAAGATGGCTCAAGTATTTGGACCCCTGCCATCCACATGGCAGACCCAGATGGAGTTCTGGGCTCCTGGCTTTGGCCCAGCTGTCGCTGCTGTAGGCATTTGGGAAGTGAACCATCAGGCAGGAAATCTCCCCTCCCTCTCTGACACTCTGCCTTTCAAATAAGAAAATGATCTTTTAAAAAACTTAAAAAGGTATTGAGTAAAACGTATCCCTCTAACCCCAAGCCATGCAGTTCCCTTACCTAGTGTCTTCTCAAGGCCTCCAGTGGCACTGCATTTGAAATGTGATGTCAGAAGGGTTGACTGTTGCCGGCATGGCGGCAAACCTTGTGTTTTAGGGGTGGGGCTTCAGGAGTCTCACACGTTCTCATTCTCTGTGAAGTGCTCTGTGGGCTTTATCTCAGCATTCTCAAAACAGGCCTATGAGCACATGACATTTCATCCCTAGACTTCTGAAACCCTGAACTAGATAGAGACAATGAATAGACGAATTCCAAGCAAGGGACACAAGAGAGGATAAGGTAGAAGCCCCAGAAGGTTCTTTATTAGAGCTCATACCCCGCCTCAGTGCTGGAAGTGGAAACTGCTGCTCACCAGCACAGAAAGGGAGTGGCCAAATTATTATTATTTTTTCGGGGGGGGGGGGGACAGACAGGCAGAGTTAGAGACAGAGACAGAGAGAAAGGTCTTCCTTCCGTTGGTTCACTCCCCAAATGGCCGCCACAGCCGGCGCGCTGTGCCGATCCGGAGCCAGGTGCTTCCTCCTGGTCTCCCATGGGGTGCAGGGCCCAGGCACTTGGGCCATCCTCCACTGCACTCCTGGGCCACAGCAGCGAGCTGGACTGGAAGAGGGGCAACCGGGACAGAATCCGGCACCCCAACCAGGTCTAGAACCTGCGGTGCCAGCGTTGCAGGTGGAGGATTAGCCTAGTGAGCCGCGCCGGCCAAATCTGGTGTTCTTTTCAAACTTTCTTGGTCCGAGTCAGGAAGCAGTTCATAGAGCCCCACTCCCTGTGTGTGGTGATGTGAAAGACTATGCTAATCATGTCAGTGCACAAAATAACCATTTCAGATCCTGGCCCTGAAATTTATTAAGTAAAAGGATGGCCTACAAGGTGCCAATTCTGCACATTAAAGAACTTGAGGTTTTGGAGTCAGAGCTCCTGAGTCACCTTGACATGGCCAGAGAGCCTCCTCACAGATGCCTGGCAGGCAGTAGAGGTGAGCGTTCGGTACAGACATACTCAGAAGAGCTAGCAGCATAAATGACAGGTATTTCTATTCCTCGGAGAAGGTAAAATCAACTACTTGGGAGACCCTTGCTTTAACCATGGCATTACTAATCAACTATACCAATGAGCCTGTGGGTCAGGTAGCCCTAGATGGGGAAGACCACTGCAGGGGACCCCGTGCTGAGGAGGAACAAGCTCTGATTGGAAAGCTAAACGACAAGAAGGCATATTGATCTGTGATTGTCTCCCTCTGTTGCCTCTGAGACATGGACAGTCTCCGTTCTACCTGGCAGCAGCAGGACTGTTGGAGAATTAAAAGGAAGTTAACAATCCCACTTTGATGCAACCATTGGAGGTGGCGGCTTCCCTAGAGGCCCACATTATGACAACAGGGATAATCACTACCAAGTGATTCTCCAAATGGAGGCTAAACACCTGGTAAAAATGGTTAGGGGCAACGAGGCTCAGGTATCTGTCCCTAGGGAGAAAGATGCCCTCCATGCTGGCTTGGGAAGACTAGGATATGAGGATAGTAGGGTCCCCTTACATGAGATGAAAATGCTCCGAGAGCTACATTTATATTGTCAGTATGTTGCAGTTGTTCATGACAGCCCTAAGGCATAAAAATTTCAAAAAAATTAATAATGTAGGATAATGTATACGGCACTTAAGGAAACCATTCTTCCAGAAAACATTGCAAAATGGCTTCTGAAGAACACTTCTTTATCTGAGAAGATTCCACTAATCGAATGCTATTCTTCAAGCATTCCGCATTGCCCGGTTTTGAACACCCCACTGTAGATCTACCTGCAAGCTGCACTATGGCCCCCCGAGCCACTATTCCTTCTGGGAAAACACTCTGGAGCAAGGGAGTCGGTGCTGAAGATGGCGTATTGCAGGCTCGTAGGAAAGAAGCACATGCTGTTTCAACAGGCCCAGCAGGAGCAGGTGCAGTGACACTGCCTGAGGCCAGAAAGCATCACGGTCTCAAATGTACAACTCCTCCATCCTGGGGGTTTCCTTGGGGTTGAGAAATGCTCTCTGCGTTGCCCCTCAAGGACAGAATGCTGGTGCCCTGGGCCTGGGAGTGCTGCTGAGGGCCCCCAAAAGACAGTAGCACTGACCTTATTGATTTCATGTGGGACATGCGAGCTGGTCTCCTTGAGTCTGGAGATGGAGCTGTGACACAGCCCACCTATCACAGCCATCAGCGTATTGAAGTTCTGTAGTTGGTGGAGCTTCTGTGACAGAACAGACAACAGAGTCGTCGCGTACGTCAGTGAGAATGGGAGCTCCCAGGCTGTGTGCCGAAGGCTAGTGATGAGGTGCTACACTTTCCTGTCCACTGCCCCACTTTCTGCTTAATTTCCAAACCAGTGGGTCCCCAATGTGGTGAGGTGGCGGTCCTCTCGCTTTGTTGCAGCTGGCCTGTGGGTCACCACCGTGAGAATCACAGGTGTTTGAGGAACACGAGTACTTCTGGACCCAAACCCAGACATTCGGATTCCATGGAGGTTGGGGTTTGAACTCTGTGCTTTTATTTTATTAATTTTTGAAAATTTATGTCCTTTTAATCCTCCTTTAGTTAATATCAGACCAGATGGTCCATGTACTAAATGTTAAGAAACACTGGTGTAGCTATTCAGAGTAGGAAGAGTATCATTAACAGTAATCTTATTTTTCTTAAATTTGCCAGACTGTAATTTCTCAGGGTGAGGACTTCATCGAATTCTGTTTTCCAATGCCAGTACCTACATCAGACAGTAACTGGGGCAAGGAAGATACAATATCGGGAATTTCAAGTGTGGGTTTTAATGCCTGTTTTCTCTCTTATCAAATGCTTAAACTCTGGCCCTCCAATATGAAATCTAGCCATTCAGCACAGCCTGGGCCTCGAGCTCTTTTAGGACAACCTAGCTGGGCCAGTTCCAGGCAAACTGAGAACTATTTTCCTCTTTGCCACCTGGGTCAGATTTAGGAAAATGTCAGCATCTTCTGACAGATGTTAAAGGTCCAGACAGACCCAAAACTATCCTGGTCCCCCGAGACAGCCTGTGTGGCCCTCTCCATGTTGTCCTTGTATGGAAAAACAGAGAAGTCGCCACATCTAGATCTGAGGACAGATGAAAACACACAAACCTCACCTGGCTCGGGGGGATGAACAGTTCAAAACGATAGCTTGGGCTGGGGTGTGGTGGGGGTCAGGGTGGGGTACTTTATCTCATACCCCAGGCCGAAGGTATAATGCAGTCACTCACCTGAGCCACCTGTATGAACTTGATGAACACCTCTGCTCGGAGCTGCGGGGTGGGCCGGCTGAGAACCATCAGCTGCACCCACTGGGAGATGCCGTTGCACAGGGCAATGGACCGCTCCATGGTGGGGTTCTCCTTCACACAGCTATTTACAAGGTAATTTTGATAGTCCGAGAACTGCGGGGGAGAGAAACAACCGTCAGGACTGGGCTCTGGGATTCCAGGAGGTCAGAGGGCAAGCCCACCTGGCCAACAGGAATGGTGGGAGCAGAATCTTATCTCCACCCACAGCCCGGTCTTCCTCCTTCACAAGCATTAGACCTGAGTGGGTATGTACACACCCTGCTTAATGTAAACACTGCATCTGAGTACATGTTGATACTGCCTCTTCTAAATTCTAGAGAATACAGTATAGAAGGAAAAATGCCAGTGTAACCTCCAATTCTGCTGAAATTAAGGAGGAAAACGATCATTCCCCTGACAAAACCAAATCTGTTTCCCTGAATTGTGAAAATGTGATATAAGAAACAAATGAACCTGCCCTGTTTAGAGCATGGAGTTGTTACGAAGATGAAAGAATGCGTAAAAGCACTAACTTTTCGGAGTGCTAGTTAAATGCAGGGCAGTGCTAATGGGATAATTAGCAGCCTCATGCCAAAACAAGCCTGTGCAGATTTCCTTCTTGCCAACTTGACAGAGGCCACGTGGTGGGGGGTACGGGAAACGGTCAGCCATGTAGCTGGTGACCACAGTTCCCCGACTTGACAATGGCATTGACTGGTCGACAGTGAATCAGCCTATGTGGAACTGGAAGTGTCCTAGAAGATCTGGCTTATGTGGTGACTGCAGCGATAGTGGCCCTGTCACAGAGCCCCTTCTGTGCCCAGAATAGAGTGGGCCCGTGTGACAAGGGGAAGCCACGCAGCTTTGAAGGGAAGGAGTGATGAGGATTTGCCACGCTGTCTTTCCACGCCTGCTGAGACTGGAATTTGCAGCACCCAGGTCCGCTGCTGCCCCATGTTAGATGCATAAAGTGAGTAAACGCCACGGAGATGGTGGGGGCAGAGGGAAGTCCTGAGCATAGTCCGCCTTAGTCCTGCCTGCATTTACAGCAGTAAATACACCAACGGGGAGACCTAACCTGATTAACAGCTGCAAGCTCACTGCACCCCTCCCGACTGCTAACCCCTGATGGGCAGAGCAAATACGAGCGGAACCCAAGTCACTCCTTGAGAGAAAGGCAGAAGGGACCGGTAAAGCTGTCTTCCACTTCCAAGAGAAAGCTGCCATGACTCATTCCAATGAATGCATTTATATACCACCCCCCCCCCACCTCAGCGCCACTGTAAATACAATATTGAATCCACTTGGTTTTCCAAAGAATTATCCCAGTAATCTCACCCCTCCCCCTACAGGTCTCAGAATAAAGCAGCAAACATCAATTCAGAGCAGAGAGGACTGTCCCTCCAGCCTTAGGTTAGAAAGAAAATAGCTGTTTGGGAAAACAGTTTAGATGTAACAATTCTACAGCAGTCTCCTAGAAGGGACCCTTGTCACTCAGACTAGTATTTCCTTTACAAACAGAACACTACCTAACACTCCTCCACCCCACGACTGACTCCCACACCAGGTTGAGCCCTGCTGTCTCACCGCTACCTCCACTGGTTGGCGAGAGCGCCAGCATCTAGCCTGGGCCTGGTGGAGTTCAGATGTCCCGTGTGACAGGTGGCTCTTTTCAGTGGCTCTCAGCCCTGCCTGGCACCCTGTCCAGTGACACAAGAGGCACTGCCCAATGGAAAGATTCCACATGGAGCTTCCCAGTGCAGGCCTGGGGTTCTGTCTGAGGGGTCCTGGGGGCCAGAGCAGCTTAAGGGTTGGACACTTCTAAGCGGCTGTGGGGAAACAGGAGTGAAGTCAACACCGGGGGTGAAACTATGAAGTGACTTCCGGAACCTGTCTCGAAGCTGCCCTTCCAGATACAGCCGGGCTCAATAGACTGGCGCTGAGTGACACAGAGACTGGCAGTCCCAGCCCCAGCACCGACTGTGACCAGCCACGCTGACCTTGCTCCAGTCTCCTCTGGGCCTCCATCCCCTCCCCTGGGGAGCACAGGTCAGAAATGCATTCACCACCGAGGGGGTCTCCACGTCCAGGAGGCCCAAGCAGCGCTGCGTCAGGGATTTAGGAACGTCCCAGGCTGGACGAGGAGATGCAGTCTTACGTAGGGATTTCCAAGCACCATTAGGAAACTACTCTGAATGAATTCAAAGTCTTGTAGGACGTAGTCCCCTTTTTGTTTGGTTTCCGGGGAAGATTCTGGAAACTTTTCTGACGATGCTGGGGTGGAGCAGGGATGCGTCTATGTGCTCACTCACGGATGTCTGTGGTGTGTGCAGGCTGTCACGTGTGCCTGCAGGCCACGCAAGCCAGGGGTGGGGCAGTAGAAGGGGGATGTGGAGGGTGGGAGTCAGGATGGCACTGACTGTCCAGGTGACGTGATATTTGAGGGGAATGTGGCCAGCACTGGGGAGGCCCCCAGGGGCAGCAGGTGGAGGGGCTATTGGCTGCCTCTGCCTATTTCCATAAATGCCCCAGGGAGTTTTCCGCGCCCCTTGGGTACATACGGATATCCTGCGGAAGGACTTGAACTCAAGGTAGGTGAGGTGCTCAGACAGCTCTTCCGGCTCCAGGTGGTCGAACAGCAGGGACACCTTCCGTTTCTTGCTGGTGTTTGACTTTATCCGTTGAGTAAGTTTCCTGGACCAGTCACGGGCATTGCTTTTGTGGATAAACGTGAGAGGGGGAAAAGAACAAATCGAAATTGCCTTTTGCAAAGAAATCCATTAATGTTTCCCAGAAGAATAGACGAAGCACCATTAGCTAGCTGGCCTTGGCTAAAACATCGCATTCTCAGACTTTCCCCAAATCAGTTATTTTCTACAGCAGCAACCAGCCCATTGAGCCCTTTGAAGGTACCACGGGGAACAGAAAAAATGAGCTGACTTTTAAGGCAGCAGCAGGAGTGGGAATCTTGCCTGGCAGAATCTCTGCATCCTATGTCGGAGGTTCTGAGTCCAGTACTAGGCTGTAGTTCCCAATGTGGGGTTCCTAATACAGATCCTGAGAGGCCGCAATGACGGCTCAAGTGAGTGGACTCCTGCCACCCACGAAGAGGCCTGGGTTGAGTTCCAAGCTCCTGGCTTTGGTCTGGCCCACCCTAGTCATTGTGGGCATGTGGGGAGTGAACCAGTGCATAGGAGCATTCTCTCTCCCTCCGTCTCAAATTTTTTATTTTTAAATTTTAAAGTGAAATTTAAAAACAATATTTTTTAAATATTTATTTATTTGAGAGGCAGAGTTATAGAGAGAGAGAGAGACAGACAGACAGACAGAGAGAGGTCCTCCATCTGCTGGTTCACTCCCCAAATGGCCACATTGGCCAGGGCTGGGAAGCCAGGAACCAGGAGCTTGCGGGTCTCCCATGTAGATGCAGGGGCCCGAGGACTTGGGCCATCTTCCACTGCTTTCCCAGGCACATCCGCAGGGAGCTGGATTAGAAGAGGAGCAGCTGGGACATGAACCAGCCATTTGTATAGAATGCCGGCACCAGAGGCAGAGACTTAGCTTACTACACCACAGTGCTGGCCTCCATTTGTTTGTTTGTTTGTTTGTTTTTAAACTCTGGTGGAAAGCACCAGTCCATTTCCTGGCCTGTGGTCCTGGCTCCTGGAGTGTCTGTCTGCTCAGTCCGTGCCCTGGGAGTGATTCTTCACCCTCACGAGCGAGGTGGGGCCTCTCTCTGATAGGACAGTTTTCAGGACAGAAGAGCTCAGAGAACCAAGGAGAGAAGACACCAAGCCGCAGGGACAGAGGTGTGGCATCTTCTGCAAATGTCCCCAGCCACTGACAGGAGTAAGGAAGCCCAGCTGACCCCCAAGAGTCCTATCCCCACCCCTGTATTACCTAGCAACCAACCCAGGTGTTTCCTATTCCTGTTCAATTTCCCATCTAAGGAAGCCAAGGGAAGCAGCCCAGTGTTGAAAGGCAGCCGTCTGCAGATGTGCATTTCTCAAAGAGGGGTTCCTGGGAAACTAACCTCTTGATAAAAGGGTTCTCTGACCTAGGGTGTTTGGGAAACGCGTGGAAATTCTTCCTTGGCCAGGAAACTATATTACAGACTCTGAGACATATTACAAAGAAGAATTTAGCTCATTCTTCCTCAGGTATGTGACCGGGTAACACCCCCACCCCCCCAGGACTAACTCCTGGAGGACTGCCTACGAGGCTGCCGTGGGGCCCGGGAACCAGGATGGAACCTTCTCCAGTTCTTCCTCTGGAAAATGAAAGTGCTACTCTGAAAATCTCTGGGGGCTTTCAAGTTGTGTAATTCTCCCAGCTGACAGGACTGCCTGGGGCCACGCAGGGTCACCCTGCAGTCATTTCTAGGTCACAGAACACATTGCGTCCTGGAAGGGCCTGGCTGTCTGGCTCCTGCTCTGCCACTGTGCCCGGATGAACCCATTTCCCAGCCAGGAAGCTCAGGCTGCTGGATGAGACGACCCCGAGAATATGCTGCAGGTCTCGGAGGCTGCCCCGACACACACAGAAGCTGCACTGTGAAAACCTGGGCTTTTATGAGTGCACGCCTATTCCCCAAAGTTTAAAAAGACATTCGTGTTCCAGGGTGGGCCGATCTCATAAAGAAGAAATCCAAGGAGAATTAGGATATATTCCTGAGATCCCTTCCAACCCTGGAAGCCCAGCATCTCCCACAGACCTCGGTGGATGCCACAACCCCTCTGCTCGAGGCTTTTTCCCCTCCCCAGCAGCCCCCAGCCCTCTGCAAGTTCAGAGGCGACTGCTGGCAGCAGCAGCTAGAGCAGCAGTTCAGTGGCTGCGCTTAGTTTCTTATGATCTGGACACATTTCAGGCAGGAGCACGCTCCCAGGTTTCCTTTCCACTGGGCTCTACTTTCTTCTGCTCTTGGCTATGAGTCACCTGTGGTGGCCTTATCACCACAGAGCTCCTGGCTTTCTACGTTCCTCTCTGGGGAGGCCACGTGCACCTGCCCCTCCCCTCCGAGGGGTTCAGTCAGAAGCTTTGCGATGCAGCCCAGATTGCATTTCAGGAGGGAGGCGGGGCTTCCCAAGAGCAGTGGCAACCTTGACACTCACATCTGAGTTGTGTCAATCAGGCGGCAGTGGAGATCCTCTCCGCGAGCTTTCGCCAGCTCCTGAAACTCCTCCATGGTGTGTGTCAGGCTGGCGTCCATTTTAAACATGATCCAGAATTCTGTTATCCAGTACCTGGAAGGAGGGAGAGAGAAAACGTGGTCCAGAATGGAGGCCGGTGACGCAGAGGATGCTGGGGAGGTTCCCAGGGGGACGTGCTACTCTGCAGAGGACTCCGCGGGATGGGAGCTGAGCTGTCCTAGGGCCTCAGGGGGCAGAGGAGCAAAGCAACCGTCCCTCCACACACAGGAGGCTCTGATGGCATGAGGCGCTGCGACGAAGACACAGGCACCGGCACCCGCAGGGAACTAGACAAGCCAGCTGTCCCAGAACGGGACAGATGCACCCGCAGATGAAGCTTTATCTTTTAGAAGCTTTATTTTTTAGAATGTTACAGGGCCACTAAAAGAATGTTTACAAAATGTCTTCAATATGTAGACAAGATGCTTATGTTACCAAGCAAAAATGATAGAATATAAAACTATATACTTGCTTCTAGTCCCGGTCGGGGTGCCGGATTCTGTCCCGGTTGCCCCTCTTCCAGGCCAGCTCTCTGCTGTGGCCAGGGAGTGCAGTGGAGGATGGCCCAAGTGCTTGGGCCCTGCACCTCATGGGAGACCAGGATAAGTACCTGGCTCCTGCCATTGGAGGGTGAACCAACGGCAAAGGAAGACCTTTCTCTCTCTCTCTCTCTCACTGTCCGCTCTGCCTGTGAAAAAAATAAAAAAGAAAAAGAAAAAAGAAAAAAAAACTATATACTTGCATGTATTTGGATCTCAACTTTGAAAAATCTGCAAGGAAAGTTGGAGTGACTACTGTTTTCTGCGTTTTTAAAATGTTCTGCAAGGAATTATATTTTTCTTATAGTTAGGACAAAAAATAAAATAACTAAGACTGCCTCACTTTCTGCATCTCCTTCCCTTAGGACATTTGATACCAAAGTGCTCTAAGACTGAGCAAAACACTGGTATAGAATATTAAGCTCGGTGCAAGGTGGAAAATCACTGGGCTCTGCAGAGGACTTCCGGGCACTAAGGAGCGCCCTTCGCAGTCTGTCCGGAGGCGCTCTCTGGTGGAGAAATGGAGAAGCGGGGAAGGCAGGGAGGTGCAGGAGAGAGCTAGCACCCAGCTGCTTAGGCCCTCACCTCACTCCCCCCCCCCCCGCCCCGTGCAAGCAGAAACCTCACCTTACAAAATAGCAGATCTTCAGGCAAAGCCCGGGTGAGTTCTTCGCCAAGGCATCCTTATAGGTGCGGCTGTGGTCAAGGGAAATGGAAGCTCCTGCTGCAGACACCCTGGAAGCATTTGCCGCAACTACCCCAGGACTAACATTTCCAGAAAATTGAGAATTAGCTTTCTGGCCACAGGGTCAAAACCAGCTGGATGTGTGCAGCTGGGTGCTTACCCCTAGAAGAGGTGAGGAAGCTGGTGGAGGGACGCCACAGCATCCCCCCGGCAGCAGGAGACCTAGGAGGGTCTCCGCCAGGTGACACGTTCACCCCGCAATGGCCGCTATGGCAGGTGCACCGCGCTGATCTGAAGCCAGGAGCCAGATGCTTCTCCTGGTCTCCCATGGGGTGCAGGGCCCAAGCACTTGGGCCATCCTCCACTGCACTCCCTGGCCACAGCAGAGAGCTGGCCTGGAAGAGGGGCAACCGGGACAGAATCCGGCACCCCAACCGGGACTAGAACCTGGTGTGCCGGCGTCGCAGGTGGAGGATTAGCCTAGTGAGCCGTGGCGTGGGCCAAGAGCAGCCTCTTGAAAATGCTTTCCAGGGTGCAGCTTCGATGCAGTGGTTAAGCCACTGCTTGGGAGGCCCACATCCCATATCAGAGTACCTGGGTTCAAATCCTGGCTCTGCTTTGGTTCCAGTTTCTGGGAAATAGCAGAGGATGGCCCTGCCACCCATGTAGGAGACCCAGATTGGGTTCCTAGCTCTTGGCTTTGTCCTGACCAACCCAGGGATTTGGGACATGAACCAGCAGATGGGAGACGTCCATCTGTCTGTCTACCTTTCAAAAAATTAAAAAAAAATTGTTAACAAAAACGCTTCCTGTGAAGGGTAATGTATTCAGTGAATTACAAGAAACGCCGACACCTATGAGCATGATCTTTAAGAACAATGTGAAAATTATAATCTGCACACCCAGAGGATGCTGGCAGTTGACTTTCTACACTGTGACGGCAGTCAGACAAGGCCACACGAATAATCCTAAGCGCAATGGGAGATCCCCCTGAGGGTCCTTATTCTGAATGTGCCAAGAAGATACAAGAATAGCAACATCTCAGCTACACTGACTAAAAAATTGTAGTTGGATTTTCAAGAATAGCAAGATCTCATCAAATCTGCGTATCTTTAGAGAGATATGGAAGGAATATTCATTTACTTTGAGAGTCAAAGAAATCCAATCCAACTATGAGCCTGGGTAGCCCCTGCTTCTGTCAACACAGTGAGGAAGCCAGCGGGTGGGCAGACCCTCCTTCCGCTGCTGAAAACGTGCCCTGGGTTCACTGCTGGTCAGGCTCAGTGGATGTCAGCTGGGTCCATTGGAGGAATCCAGTGAGCAACAGGGTAGAACCGGCAGTTGCCTGCGGTGGGCGTGGTCTTTTGCTGGTATTCTAACCCTTGAAAAAGTTAAAATGAAGATAGTCAATCTCATAGCCCTGATTTTTTTTTAACTAGAAAGGAGTCTGTCATTTTATATTTCTGTGACGTTTAAGATCATGTTAAAGTTTCTCCCTTGAAACTTTAGAGAGAAATATGCAACTCAGTGCTTTGCACTTGTGGTTTTATATCGAAACATTATTAGTTTTATACCTGGCGTTGGAATAGCAAAGATAATGCTAGCTTTATTGTTTATAACTTTATTAGAGTCACAAAAATTATTTCAAACTCAGTGAGGCATCTAAGTATTTAAAAATAACCTAAAATGTAAATTACATTATCTTAGTTTAAGAGTATTGGAAATATTTAATTAACATTATTCGAATTAACCAAATATTTTTTAAAATCCCTTAAAAATGCATGCTGAAACATGCCACACTGAGAAAGAGTAACGTTTGCAAAGAAACCCTACAGAACTGTGCCTGTACAACCTGTAAGTTTAATAAAGTGATTTCCCATTTAATAAATGAAGTCTTAATAGATTTATTGCCTATAAGTTTTATCCTTGAGATCAGAAGCAAAACAAAACAAAAAGGCCCAAAACCTCATGCCCCCACAGGAAGCCCTGTTGATGCCTGCCTGCCTCGGGTTACAACAAGCAGAAGTGAGAAGTCGGTGCTGTGACACTGCCCCATGCCGAGAGAGTGCACCACATCAAAGCAGAGATCCGAGCATTAAGACACATTCTACATCCCCCTGGGGCTCTATATGTTTTATTATTTGACTTGGTCAAATTCTTATCTGAGAATGAATTTTGATTCCTTTTTAAAGGGGAAGGCACCAAAACTATACTTCTTTAAATCAACATGTTGGCTTTCTACTGTGGACATTTCCTTCCTCCTCGTGTCCCCTTCTTTCCCCCAAATGCCCACTCTGACCGCGCACATGGGCAGCATGTGGCACAGTGCCATCTGTATAAATCCAGCCCGCCTACACTGGAGTGCGAAGCCGGGGGGTGGGGGTAGAGGGGGCCTTGCTGATGCCTTTGGGAGAGCAGAAGCCTCCTGAGGGCATCAGGACCCCCACGCCATGGGCCCCTTCCTCACTTCAGGAGCTGAAACAAACCCTGGGCAGGTGCAGGCTCAGGTCTGTGCTGACCTGGAGTGAACCCAAGGTTTGCTGGAGGCCTCATGCCCTCCTTTTTCTTCCCCTCACTGCTGCCTGCTCCTGGGGCCAGGAAGAGCTATGTAGTTCTGAATGCATCTCTCAGACACCTGAACTATTCAAAGCACGCTTTACATCTCTCTCTTTTGATGATGGAAAAGCAGGAAACCATTGGAGCCTACTTAACCAAACATTCAATTACTTCCAGGTCAGACAGCAGGAAAACTAAGCGCAAAAGAAAAAAATCACTTGGCCATCAATGTTCAAGCTGGTTGTCCATTCTGGGCGGTCTCATTTCAGATTCCTTCTTGGAATCCCTTGCCTGCCCTCAAGTTGTTCTCAACCTCAGCAGAGTCTAGATGTCCCACCAAGTTCCGGTAGTTATAGAAAGAGCAGCCCAGCGGTCTGCCCCCACGGTAACACAGCACTAAATGCACCCTACCAAGGGACAGCCACTAGGCTTAAGTCTAGAGACACACAACAAACAGGATGGTTCCTGGCCTTGGAGGGACACACAGCCTGGCGGAGGAGATGACAGAGAAATGGGTGAGAGACAACACAGTATGTGAACTATTAATATGTGTTAATACATATATAGTAAAACCAACTTTTCTTGAAGCAATTTACAATCTAATGAATGTTTTAGTACTCGTGCATCTTTTCGATGACTACCAAAGTTCAAACCACGGTAGCCAGATACAAACCCTCTGTGACAGTCATCTCCGAACACCACAGCGTGTGGGTATGACGTCACAAAGACCCGGGGAGATACGTGTGGTCAGCCAACACAATCACACTGCTTCATGCACGCTGTGGCCAGAACAAACTTCTCCAAAGTGGATGGCGCCCAAGGGGAGACACACACTGACATCAGTGACACAAAGCTACAGTCATAGCAGTTACACCGATTTTTCAACCAAGAACATGGTCTTAGAGCACCAGAAGTATTTGTAAATGGGAAGAGGGCTGGCAAAGGCAGGAGAGGCTTCCCAGAGGGGTCCCGAATGAGCCTGCGAGGCAAAGGCAGGGATGGGCACAGAAGTGCCAGGGCCCTGTTTCTGATGTGCTGGGAAGGTCACTGTGGAGGGGAAGGGGTCCTGGGAGCTGCAGGGTGAGGCGGGAGGACTCCCTGGGCTCAGACCCAGGATGGTCTCCCCCACCCCCACCCCAAGGAATAGGACACCGACCCTGTGGTTTGCAGAGGCACCAATCCAGTGGCCACCCCAACTGCTTTCAGGAAAAGCACTCCAGGGGTGGGTGATGAATGGGAGCAGACCACAGATGAGCTCAGTGTGGAAGAGAGGCTCGGGGCAGGCACTGGAATCAAGGCGGTGGCATGGGAACGCAGAGGAGGGAACAGGAGGGGTCATTGGGAAGCAGAAGCCCAGGACCGGGAGGCAGACGCTGCAGGGGTGAAGAGCAGGGAGGAGTCAAGCGCACTTCTGGTGTTCCTGGGTCAGGCAACTGCATCTGTGATGACCCCGAGGACATTTGGCAAACTGAAAATGAAAATACAGGTCTCCACGCAGCGCCGATGAGGCGGCAGCTGGGGACAGAAGTGCTGAGCTAATGCACCCACGGAGGTACGTGAGCAGATTAAGACCAAGGTGTCAGCAGGACCCACTAGTCCAAATCTTTAAGGAGTGGCTTCAGTTACAGAGCCAAAGGCTTGAAAGAGTGGTGGTGGAAATCCTGGTGAAAGAAATCCCAGGAGGTGGAGCTGAGGGAGAAGAAAACCAGGCCGGCCTCCCTGAACGCCTGGCGCTTCGAGAAAAGCCCAGGTGAGCAGCCAGGAGGAGGAAGCGCAGGGCAGGCAGGAGGACGGCGTGATGCCCAGGGCACTGGGAGGCCAACGGGAAGGGAAACAAGCTGTCAGCTGGGCGTGGCAACGCCTAGGTCAAGGTGACATCAGAGGAAAGTCTGAGTACCCCGGCCAGGGCCACAGTAAAGCAGTGCGTAGGCAGAGAGACTGAGATGGTGAGCGCAGACTATTTTAAGAAAATTTCACATCAAAGTTCTAGCCCTGACAAATGGAAATGGAAGGGGAAGGGTCACGGGCTTGTTGGGAGGGGAGACCTGCCTGTGTTTTAGGGCAAGGGCAGTGCCGTAGCTTCCAAGGAGCGAGCAGACAGCCCTGGTGGAAGAAGAGTCTCTGAGGGGCGGGGCGGGGCGGGGGGCATGGCAACAGTGTTAGCAAGTGAGCAGGACGGGAGGGATCGGTGCTGCCCCCTGAGCCTCAGGTGGCAAACGGCCTCACCCCACCTAGAGCAGCCTTCCACCCTCGCCAGCAAGCACTTTCTCCACTTCACATCCTGCAGGAAGGTCAAACACCAGCGGGGGCTGCCTGGTGTGCAGACAATGGCTCACACACACCTCACGCCCCACTCTGGTTGAGGTGAACCAATCAAAATAAAAGCGTTCTTCCAACCTCAAGCTGCTTTCGGAACGCCTCCCACGCGGGGATGGCCAGTCACCACGCTAAAGGATATAGGGCGATGACTTTCTGGAGCAGGTCTGCAGAGGAGATGATAATCCGGTGCATGGTCAGCATGACTTGCAGCAGCTGGTTGCTCCGACACAGGTTTCCATCCGCATCTGAAGACAGGAAGAGCAGCAGCATGGGTCAGGCCCCGAGAGAAAGTACCCGGCATGCCTGGGGGCGGGCAGCTGGGCAGGCTGGTTCTTCCGACCCAAGGCTTTTCTCATGGCCCAAGAACCACACGGCCTCAGCTCTGCTTTCCTGGGCCTCCTGCTTCTTCCCTCCCCACCCCCCAACACACGCGTCCATTCTGATGCTCATTAACCAGTTAGCCACCACGGTGGTGAAAATCCCGGGAAACAGACCAAACCCGCGTCAGCACACTGGGGTATCTGGAGAGCAGAAGCAGATCCAGGTTTTGTGGGGCCCTGAAGTCCTGGTATTCAGTGGAGGGTTAGGGTCAGGGAGTGACCTCTTTAGGAACATAGCAGAAAAAGTGACCATGTTGATAAATTTCAGTGAAAATATCTTGCTTTTATAAATGTAACAAAACACGAGACCACAGGAATACATTCCAGGGCCCTCCCCTGGCGTCACAAGAGGCCAGTGTGAGTGAGGAGGCTGAGACGGGAGCGTCCCTGGGTGTGTGGTTAGGAAGGCTGAAGACTGTTGCTGGGCTGTGTGCTATCCACATGACGTGCACCAAACAGCGCTGTCACCTAGGCTCTCCAAACCTCGGATGCTACCAAAGAATACGATGCGTGCTGTACACTGCCGTTGGGTTAAAGATTCCCCTTGCAGTGGTTTTCTTTCTTTTTATTTTTTAAAGATTTATTTATTTATTTGAAAGTTACACAGAGAGAGAAGGAGAGGCAGAGGCAGAGAGAGAGAAAGAGAGAGAGGTCTTCCATCTGCCGGTCTACTCCCCAACTGGACACAACGGCCGGAGCCAGGCCGATCCGAAGCCAAGAGCCAGGTGCTTCCTCCTGGTCTCCCACGCAGGCACAGGGGCCCAAGGACTTGAGCCATCCTCCACTGTCCTCCCAGGCCACAGCAGAGAGCTGGACCGGAAATGGAGCAGCCTGGACCTGAACTGGCACCCACATGGGATGCCAGCACCGCAGGCGGTGGCCCCATCTGCTACACCACAGTGCCGGCCCCTGGAGTGGTTTCCAACTGTTCCCAGCATTTATCACTTGCATGCCAGGGGCTGGACAGGTTACTCTCTGTGCCTCTTGGGGAATCCCACCATGCAGGCACCCTCCCCTGCCAGCTGCCTGCCCGTAGGGTCCAGGCACCGGTAAGCATCACGATGGGACGCGACAGGAGTCAGGACAGGCCTCTCCCACTCCCCTGCTCTGCCGTGCCATGTGTCTGGTTGGCTCTGTCATGGCTTCAGTTCTCCCTGGGATGGAGGACTACTGATGTCCTTTGACCTGCCGGCCCTATGGGTGGTAACGACTTCCGACTGTTGACAGTCTCTGGGCACAGCATCTCTGAAGGCCACTCTCATCTCTGTCATAGTCCCTTCATTTACAGAACAATCAGTGAATTCTGTTTCCTGCCTGGGAAGAGAGTCAACTGAAAGAATATGCAGGAATTGCCTTATCACCTGTATTGCTCTTTAAAATACATTATACAGGAGCCTGCACTGTGGTGTAGCAGGTAAAGCCACTGCCTGCAGTGCTGGTGTCCCATATGGGCACCGGTTCTATTCCTGGCTGCTCCTCTTCCAATCCAGCTCTCCGCTATAGCCTGGGAAAGCAGTAGAAGATGGCCCAAGTCCTTGGGCCCCTGCACCCACATGGGAGACCTGGAGGAAGCTCCTGGCTCCTGGCTTGGAATTGACACAGTTCCAGTGATTGTGGCCATTTGGGGAATGAACCAGTGGATGGAAGACCTTGCTCTCTCTGCCTCTCCTCTCTGTGTAACTCTGACTTTCAAATATATAAATAAATCTTATTAAAAATAAAATATATAATACAAAAGGGATTAACATTTTCATTCTGTTTCAAGTGTACCCAATGATAAACAAGGGACAGTTATCTGAATCTCCTCAAATGATGACCTACGTGAGGGTGCAGTCTCGCATTGCCTACCCCACCAGATGGATGGCACTCTCTCCCTCACTGCCTGTGCTCCTCCGTGCCACATGCGTGCACCTCACAGAGGCTGGCGCCTCCTCTGTGCTCTGGGTCTCCCCACCTTGACCTTGCACTTGCCCACTTTCTCTCTTGCAATATCAATTGTCCTCTTCCTCTATTTACTCTCACTGGCATTACATTAAGCCCCCATTTCTCCTAATTAAAGCAAAATGAATTAAAACAGAACCCCAAATCCCCATCCTCTGTAGCTACCTTTTGATTTCTCTGTTCTTTTTGGCAAAACTCCACTGTCAGCAAGTTTTCACCTCCCATCTACTTTTCAATTGTCCCATTCTGATCCTGTCACCACAACAGCAAATCTTTGACCTTCGAGGTTCCCGATCAGCTCCACGTTGGCAAATCCAACTCTGGCTGCCCCTCTGTCCTCACCTCACTCTATGACTCAGCTGCCTGCAGCCCAGCACACCCCAGGGTGACAACTCCCTTTTCTGGAACACGCGCTTCTCTTGGCGTCCACAGCATCACACTCTCTCAGCTTCCCAGGCTCCTGTCTCTTCCTCTGCACGGCTCTTAAATGTCAGTGTGCTCAGTGGCTCAGTCCTCCCACTTCTTCTAACATTTTTTAGAACTTAGGACTTCTTAAATTTTTTTCAAATTAACTTTTTTGCTATGAGAACTCAATCTGCCCAACTCATAGCCTTGTCCACTAAATTACCATCTCTAGCTGCCTACTTGGCAAATCCCCTTGGATGTTTGAGTTCAACTGTAACTCAGACTAGCAAAACTCTTGACCTCTCTGTCTCCCTGGTTCATTCCTCCTCCTATTAGCTCCAAAAACAGCATAGCCAACCAGCCTCTCGGTTACCCAAACCAAAAACACAGTAGTCATCCATCAGTTCTCACTTTCCCTTACATCGAAGTCATCAGAAAGCTGTGGCTCTATTTTCAAAAATCTATTTCAAGCTTGTTCATTTCTCTATCCTTGCTGTTATCCTCGCTGAAGCCACTAAGACACAATGACCTAACAGGCTCCCCTGCTTCACCTACAGCCCATTGTCCACCCAACAGCTAGGAGGGAGGTCCTAAACCCCCACCTCATGCCATGCACTTCAGAGACTGTAATGGATTCCATCATAATCAGAATAAAATAAATTCCTTACTGTGTGTCCTGGTCTGTTTTAACACTGCCAAGTTAATCTCATACCATATGAAGGTACATTAAAAAGTTCATGAAAATGGAATTAAAAGGGGCCAGCATTGTAGCACAGAGGGTTAAGCTGCTGCTTGCAATGCCAGCATCCCCAGTTTGAGCCCCAACTGCTCCATTTCAGAACCAGCTCCCTGCTAATGCACCCGGGAAAGCAGCAGAGGATGGCCTGAGTACCTGGGTCACTGCCACCATGTGGGAGACCTGGATGGAGTGCCAGGCTCCTGGCTTTGACCTGCCCCAGCCCCAACTGTTGAGGCCATTTGGGGAGTGAACCAGTGATGCAAGATCTCTCTCTCTCTCTTTCTCTCTCTGTGTCACTCTGCCTTTCAAACAAATAAAATAAATCTAAAAAAATGAAATTAAAAGTAATTTTATTGTAGTGCAAAAATTTTGAAAGCCATGCATGTAATGGACCTTTAAGAAGTTCATGAAAGCCGGCGCTGCGGCTCACTAGGCTAATTCTCCACCTTGAGGTGCCGGCACACCGGGTTCTAGTCCCGGTCGGGACGCCGGATTCTGTCCCGGTTGCCCCTCTTCCAGGCCAGCTCTCTGCTGTGGCCAGGGAGTGCAGTGGAGGATGGCCCAAGTGCTTGGGCCCTGCACCCCATGGGAGACCAGGAGAAGCACCTGGCTCCTGCCTTTGGATAGGCGTGGTGCGCCGGCCGCAGCGCGCCGGCCGTGGCTGCCATTGGAGGGTGAACCAATGGCAAAGGAAGACCTTTCTCTCTGTCTCTCTCTCTCACTGTCCACTCTGCCTGTCAAAAAGAAGAAGTTCATGAAAAACACATAAGAAAAACAATATGTGGATCTCAAAAGCTGCACCAAAATAAACTTAATTTCTCATCCATTTTTCTGTGAGATTTTGGAAGTACCTCACATTGCTCCTCTCCACACCTTTATTTATTCCTCAGACACCCTAAGCTTATTCCTTACTCATGGCCTACCTCCTTAGTGCTCATTCATGTCACTTAGGTCTCAGGTTCAATGTCACATCCTCAGAAAGATCTTCCTGAAATTTCCTAACATAGCCAGTACCCTGCCCGAGTTTTCCCATGGTATATATGATCTGAAATTATCTGGCTCACCTACTGATTTCTTAAAAATTTTCTGAATGTCCAATAGAATCCAAGCTTCTTGAGACTTGAGTTTTGTCCATTTTCCCAACAACCAAATCTCCAGAGTCTAGAACAATGCTTACACAATGCGGACACCCATCACACACTGGCTGGGTTCAGGAGTGGACTGTAGCCAATAGGAAACCTGAACTTTCAATCTTCTGCGGTCACTGAGCTGGCTTTTGTAACTATCTGATGGATGATACAAAATATATGTACTGTTTTCTTCTTGGCCACAGTTTGTTAAAGAGACTCAAAGTCACAGTTCGGTAAGTCGTTTTTATGAGGTCTTAACCTAACTAGGTTACAGTTTTGTGGCTCTTTCAGGAATTCTTCTAAACTGATACATTAGTGAGTGAGGGTTAATATTGCTTTCTCAGACTGGCACTGTGGCGTAGAGGGTAAAGTTGCCACCTGCAGTGCTGGCATCTCATATGAGCATGGGTTCAAGTCCCGGCTGCTCCACTTCCGATCCAGCTCTCTGCTATGGCCTGGGAAAGCAGCAGCAGCAGGCCCAAGTCCTTGGGCTCCCGTACCCACACGGGAGACCCAGAAGAAGCTTCTGGCTTCAGATCGCTGTAGCTCTGCCTGTTGTGGCTATCTGGGGAGTGAACCAGCGGGTGAAAGACCTCTCTCTCTCTCTGCCTCTGCCTCTCTGTAACTCTGCCTTTCGAATAAATAAATAA